GGGGTCTGCGTTGGGGCAGGTGCGCGGACCCGGTGCACCGAGCCCAGCTCTGGGTGCTGCCCTGAGACTCGTTTAGGTACCGGGGTTTAAAGAAGAGCCGGAGTCTGCATTTCTGAGCAGCGAAAAGCTCATAAAACGAGTCAGTCCTAAGTGGCCTGGAGTAAAGGGTATTGGGGTCCAAGGCAGTGACCAGGGAAGGCTGAAAGCTACTGGGATCAGGCGTCCAAAGAAGGCTGCCTGGTGGTTAGCATTTGGGGCGAGGAGGGGAGGATGTCATGGGATCTTCAAATACAGACTGCAAACATTGATTCCAAAACAGTCATGGTCGGGGAGATGGGGAAAGGAAAGGGTAATCTTACGTAGAGAGAATACTGAACCGAGGCTCAGCTGTCGAGTGGCTTGTGTGGCTGAGAACTGGAAGCGGACCCCGCGGCGGCTGAGTGTTGGGATAAGCTGGGAAGGCCTGGAAGGGCCAGAAGGCATTGTCTGAAGCTGTGGCGTACAGAACGGTTCTAACAGCAGAAGTTACTTGTAGGATTTGTGTTTTAGAAAGATGGTTCTGACAACACGAGAGAGAATAGGCAGCGTGGGTAGGCATGAACGGGAGGTATTCATCCCAGTTAGTAACAATTGCAGCAGTCCCTGCAGGAGAAAGGTTCCTGGATGTATAGAGATGGGCAGGTGAGGAAGCAGTGTAATCAGAGGTGAATGGTAGCAACAACTGAACAAATGAAAACTCAGACACAGCCAACAGTACGGTGGTTACCAGAGGGAAAGATGGTGGGGGAGGTAGTGCGGGATGAGGGAATCAAATATATGATGAAGGAAGAAAATGTGGGTGGTGGGCACCAATATGCAGATGATGTATTATAGAATTGTATACTTGGAACCTAGGCAATTTTATTAACCAATGTCACTCCAACAAATTAAAAAATTTTAAAGAAGTTTAAATGTTTAAACTTTTTAAAATCAATCTTTTTCAAACATTCAATTAAGAAGGACTATATCATGGGCAAGCAGTTCCAAATCCAATACATCCCGTTCGTGTTGGGTAGCAGATACATTTAAAGGAATTTCAGAAAATAGAGTACAGTGCCCCCCCCCAAAAAAAAAGTTAATGGTAGAATCTTGATGGCCAAAACAATGTTTACTTTAAAACTTTTTCAACTTTTATATATGTTTGAAATTTGTCATAATACAATGCTTGAACAAAATAAACATTCCTTGTTTTATAACTAATGTAATACCTAAAAAACAAAAGTTTACAAACAACTTGGACTCAACTGCATGTAATTGATGCAAAAAAATAAACAATATGCTTGGCAAGCAAAGTCAAATAACTGTCTCCATCACAAAGCACATGAACACATCTAGGTTTTTATCATTATTGATTTTTTGAGAGAGAAAGGAAGGGGGAGAGAGAAAAAAACAAACATCAGATTGAGAGTGATGCCTCTGGCAGGGTATCTAACCCAAAACCTGGGTATGTGCCCTAACTGGGAATCGAATGGGCGACCTTTTGGTGCACTGGACAATGCCCAACCAACTGATTCCCACTGGCCAGGGCTAACACACCCAGATTTAAAATGGCTTACATACCTAATCACTTTTTTTTTTCATCCAGGATGGAATTTCTACCTCAAGATATTTTCCAATATAGTTCCACTGGTGGTTTTGAGAAGGATGCTTCAAAAAAAATAAATTCACAAAGCTGCAACAATCTCATAGATACTTTGTAGCCATATTATACTTCTGGAAAGACATGTATCTCAGTTACGAACCACCTGAAACTAAATTTCTCTAAGACTAAAGTCTCTAAACTTTTTTGATCCAACACCCATTGGGAAAATGTTTAAGCCTGGACACCAAATATTTGAAGATCTTGATAAATTACTGTGAGTAAAGGTTTAATGAACCCGTCTATCTTCTCTACAGACAAATACCACTTTGAGTAGACTTTCTGCCTTGTTCTAGAAACCTGAGAAAGGTGGGATGTCAACTGTGTTATTCAGTAACACGGTGTCACAGGTGCCCTCTGGCTGGTTAACTGCAGCTGGCTGCAGAGGAATGAATAATCTCTAGACATCTGTCAGGAAGCCATAACCTAGGCTCTCTTTACCTGAGTGTGGAGAGCTAATAAACACAGGTAACTATTACAAGAGATATTGGTCCCCAGGGGTGAAGGGTTTCTAAGCCAGAGCAGCTCCCACACCCTAATCATCTTGCACCTTGTGGAGAGCGGCTACAGCGTTTGGACAGGTTCAAGCCTCAGACCGACTTGTGGCAAAGCCACATACAAGTCCCAGCTTGGAGGACAAAGTCCTCCCAGCACAAGTATAGCCAAAAGGCTATGGTTGTAAGGTTGACCTTAGAGTCCGACCCTGCAGTCCTCAGGTAGCTAAGGGATGTGGGCTGCTGCGGGTGCAGCAAGTGCTGCCAAAACAAGGCTTGATAGTGTTCAGAGAATGGCAACAACAGGAAAGAAGCAGATTTGAAACTTGCAAGAACATTGTAAACATCTGCCCTTGTTTTGCTTTGTGTGATCTGACTATAAAATAAAGCTTCTGCTTACAGGCTGTGTCACTGTTTCCTCATCCAGGCACAGTGACCCACCTGGCCCCAGCTGTATTCTCTTGTGTGTTTTCTTTAATCCTTCACCGACCCTCCTCAGGTTCACCCCTGGCCGTGCTGGACACAGTTCACACCTGAGTTCCACTTTGGGTGCCAAGTAACAGTTCATATGTGGGGAGCTCATGCACATGTGTATGGACTGCAGCAAAGAGCGCCTGATACTGCACTGAGGGACTTTCTCCATCTTCCTAAATGAAGCTGTGCCATGTGTGACATTATATGAGTGTAAATGCTAGACCTGAGTAGACCTCCAAGTGAGCACTTAGGATCTCATACAGATCCTAGTGAAAATGTAACAGCTCAGCTTTGTTTTTAGTTAAAAGTGAAGACAGAAGCTTTCCTCTTCTGTCAATATGATGAACTGGAAATTCTAGGGCCCCTCCCTCCTGCTACAAAACAGATTCTGCAGAAAACACTTGTGGTGGTTGTATTACTGGGTTTTAGACATTAAAATTTCAAGGGAGCAAGAAAAAAAAAAAAAGCAAGACCCTGAGCAATAAGCAGTGAGCATATAAGAGAGGCAGGGTTTCCCTAAGGCAAGGTACCCATTAGCAGTGTTGATAGGAAGTGCATTCTTGGCCCCTATTGGGGAGAGAGAAGATGAACATGG